CTTAAAATTCCTTGTTTGCAATGGTTCATGTAAGTTCTAGAAATGTCTTTGATGATACAGACTACAAAAGGTAGTAGTCTTTTCCTCAATCATCTATTTGTTTTTATAAAGCACCTACTTATCCAAGCGCTCAACAAATACTTGCTGGGGAAGAGAATGCAATTTTTAAATCTAATCACATTAATTTTTTTTTAAATCACAGAAAACAGAAGGATATTATAATGACTGATAATCTAGCTCCGTCACTACCTAGAGAGCTCCAAGCAATCTTATGCACACAAAAGAATTTGCATGAAAAATAACTGTGCCAACTCTATTTCCAATAAGTGTAAAAATAAACAAATTTAATAACATGTAAGAGTAGCTAATTACTTCAATTAAGATAAATAATTTTATGTACTTGAAAGGCTCAGGCCATGTTTAGTGGCTTTTCTTGGGTGTGAAAGTATCAGAGACTATTTCTTACTTGTCTTTGTAATTTTAATACTTAACATAGTAAATAATTGACAAAAATTAAGTGGTATTTTAAAACATTAAGCTTTGTTTTAGGACAGTGAGATTTCAGTCCTAAATAAAGTAATATTTCAATTATTTTCATAACTTGAATATATTTATATATTAAAATATATAGTAAATGCTGTTGACAAAAGAAATGTTGACTGTCATAATCATACATAACTAACTTTTAAGTACTTCACTAAGAATTTTATTTTTTACACATTGAACTGTTCAGCAAAGAACATTAAAGAAATAATTCTCAGCATCTAAAAATTTGCATTTTGGAGAAGCAATTCATCACATAAAATTTATTTATAGAATAAATATTGAACCTTAGCTATGCAAAGCTGGAGGTGATTTTAAATCTCATAATGCATACTTCTCATAGAAGTTTATAATCTAGTTGGGGGAATAAGACACCTAATCTAATGATTAAAAATCCATTATTGATTAGAACAGAACAGAAGTTAAGGCAGACAGAAGCTGCGACTGATTGGTTGGTTAGTTCACGGTGGTGGTACCATTGGAGGTGGGACTTGGGGAGGCTTTATTGCAGCATGCCTGGAGAAACAGGTGTTTCAGGGGGAGGAACTTAAGAGAAAGGGTGTATTGGCTTGACTATTTCCATGACCAAAAGTCGTGCAATTGGGTTGTAGCATAAAAGTAGGGCATAACTTTGAGAGTTTCTTGAGAAGCAATAATGAGCTAGAATAGTTTCTGTGCAGAGGTGAGGGAAAGCTATCTGATAATGTGAAGTTAATATTTATATTGCAAGCTAAATGGTAGTAACAATTGTTATCAACTAATCTGATGTTCTACTTGTCCATACACTGAAGAATAAACACATGGTAAAATAATGAATTAGTGTGTGTTTTGACTTATTGATGACTTCACTTTTTTATAACTCTTGATTTCCAGAAAAAAATTCATAACTGAAAATCGACTACCAAGAGTCAGTTTTAGAGTGTATTTGTTTATTAGTCATCTACTTATAAGTCCTGGGTGGAGGAATAAAAGACATAAAACTATATTTAAAGCAACAAATTTTCAAAATCCTTCCTTCACATGACTTTGTATCTAACTTCCAGAGGCTACCGCTCTTTTTCAAAGTGCAGTGAGTTTGTATGAGAAAATGTGCCTAAACATGGAAGCCATATGAGTTTTATACATGAACACAGTTGTTTATCGACCACTTCATTGATAGCATCAACATAAAGATATAGGAAATAACCCTGTATTTTCATAAGCCATATACCATATGTATATACACAATATTATGCTATACATGATTTCATCTGATTCCATAACTTGCTTTTCATTGCTTTCACCAAAGCAGATCATCTTTTTATTTGGCTATGCTATTTTCTCATGTAACTAATGTAGTATATGACCTTTGAATCATTTGAATATAAATCAACAATCAGGAAGAACTTACTTATTCAGAAAGTATAACACGCTAAAGGTTTACCTTAACTCACATTCACCAAGTAAGATAATTATAGCAAAATAATAGCTTGTTATTTTTAAAGTTTAGATGATTTAATTGGCCTGTATTTTCATAAGAAGTCAAGAAGATAATATCATCTTGAAAGAGAACAATATTTTGAAAATATCCCATTGTGAGATATGGATGGAGCCATAACGTTTGTTGTTAAACCTCACCATTGTTAATAACACTTAAACAAAGATGTTTATTTATTTCCAAACACTCGGCACTTAAACATTGGCAAGAAAAAAATCATTTAATTAGACAAGAGTTTACATATGTCACTTACAAATTGGGATTATTTTAGGTCTGAAACAGTCAGTCTAGAACATTAAAAAAATACCACCATAGTGTTGCTTTTCCATCTCAGAAAAAGAAATAAATTGCTAGCATGTCATCTGTCTTATAAGGAATTTGGTTACATCAAGACTTCTAATAGTTTTAATTTTTAAAGTAATTTTAGATAAGTTGTTTTGATGGCAATAATAAAAATTTCATTTAAACTTTTGGTTGTATGAAAATTATGTAACAAAGTCCATATATGATGGAAGAATTTCTTAAATACTGTGACCCATTATAAGGCATCAGCACTAATATTTTATAAGATTGGTGATTAATAAGTAGAAGTGACTAGATTGAAGAATATAGAAATCTAATTTGTAATATAAATATATTTGGGAGACTTCAATCACATTCCAGATAATAATATGACATATTCACTGAAATAACTAATGCCTATTTTAAAAAAAATAAGTAAACTCATTTTTAAACTTCAGAATTATTAAAAATTGAATATGACACTTTTAAAATGATCTCAGCAGTGTCAGCCTATATCCTCAGACTCCTAAATTTCAGGATCATTGTCCCTGTACAGTAAACTGTTTTTCCTTAGAAAGCAAATTGCAGGCTATTATCATACTGCCACTGAGTTGAAGAATTGCTTTCTCTAAAGCAGGTAATAAAGTTACCTAGTAGTTAGGATGTTGTAGGCATGGGATAATTTCTTTTGCTGTCCTTCACTATCCAGGTGCCTAAACTGCCTTAGTGTAGGTGTCAGAGCCTCCAGATTATTTCTATGAACCTGCACTCTGATTCAGATGCCCTAAGTGATAGGCATACACATACACAATTTAAATGACAAACTCAAGGGGACAGAAGGCAAAGCACACTGTTAATAAAAGTTACTACTAAATTTCCTTTGCTATTTCAGATCCAGAGAAATTTCAGTTATATATAATATTTTAAAATATTGGGTGGTGCATGAATCTAGATATAAATTTTCAAAGTAGTCACTTTCCAGAATCATTAAATGATATGTGATTAGATGCTTCTTATTAGCAGAATGATGCATGATTTAGGCAGACCATACCGTGCACATAAACAAGTGGACTGAAAGGTTGTTGGCAGCAATGGAAAACAGTGATGGATTTTACAAGATTAAACCAACTGACATTTTATGAAAATTTCAGTTTCCTGCCTTGGATTCTATCTAAACTGACAAAAACACACATTTAAATTTCTCAAATTTCTCATGGGATGTTCTCTTGTGTAGAGTGGCTGGCAAGGATTTCTGATAAATCAATCTGTCAGGTGCCATACTTTTAATATTTATGAGGAAAGCTGCCAGGCTGGACAGAACACGTGCTAATGTTTTCTCCTTACACAAAAGATCAGAGCTGTGCATATAAAAATACACTGCTTAATTGCACAAAGTACACTGTAATATTTTAGCAGATTATTTAAAGATGGATGGGAAAAGCCAAAACAGTTAGCTGGTGAAATTACCCATTCCTAAATGTTGACATTATTAGTTCTAGCAATATAGCTGCACTATCATTAGAGCATATTTTACCCAATCATCTGTGTCATGTATAAAAGACCTGGTCTTAAAGGCCCAGCAATTTTCTTGTAACACTGAGCACCACTGACCCCTGGCCCTCAGCAACGCCCTCCCAACACCTGCACTCCGGTGAGCCAGAGCAAAACACGCCATTCATGAGGCTTTGTGTTATTACAATTATTTTTAGTGGCTCAGCGGTAAAGAATCTGCCTGCCAATGCAGGAGACGCCAGTTCAATCCCTGGGTCAGGAAGATCCCACAGAGGCGGGGGCAAATAGCAACCCACTCACTCCAGTATTCTTGCCTGGGAATATCCCATGGACACAGGAGCCTGGAAGGCTGCAAAAATTATTTTACAGTAGCAGTGAAAAGTATGGAGCTCTTACAGAGTTCTAAGCGTATAGATTAAAAATATATATTATGTGGAATCTTTTCTTTTGTTCAGCTTATTTTTTCTCTCCCCCATCTGTCTCTGAGTTATGCCCAGATTTTTCTTCCATTCTTAGGAGATATACATTGAAAGGATTACATGAAAAAACCTGGAGTCATTCTCTTTCTTAAACATAACTTTTAAAAGTGCTTAGAAAAAGAGATGAAGAATTATGTGGGGACAAGGCAGGAGAGGATGAGAATTATTTAAGCTACCATTTTCTATAAGCTTTGGAGGACACCAAGGTCAACTTCATCTTTGGGAAAATAGTTCATCAAGTGAATGTTTGCCTTAGGTGAGCTAGGCTACAGGATTACTCACTCCACAAGAAAGTGCTGAAAAAACCTGTGGGGGTGATCACTCTTCAGCAAAGCAGCAACTGCTTTGCAGTCAGGATTGTCTCTCTGAAGAACAAGTTAGCACTGTGGTTGTATTTTTTCTGATGCATTGCTTCAAAACATGATCAGACAAGAATACACTGCTTCTGTTAATTAAGCTGACTTAAAACCCGATGTTTCATTTCACTGACTGTTATTATTGTCTCTTGAAATCTTGTTCTTGTTTATAGATTTTTTCTTTTTACTGGAGTTTAGAAATATTCCAAGCAGATGAGCCTAGAAAATTTAGAATCATGGGATGAATCAGTAACTTCTAGATCTGTGTAGGAACATATTGCATGAGACAGTGATGTGATTTGTGAGAAATGTCTACACACGAGCTTTCATATACCTTTATTCTGTCTTTAGAATTTGGAATGATGGGAGATCATACAATTAAAAGTCAGCGACCTCGATCTGTTCATGAAAAAAGGGTTCCTCAGGAACAAGCTGATGCTGCTAAATTTATGGCACAAACTGGTAATACGTTAGTTACATTTTTCTATTTATTGTTGTTAATTTAATGAAACCACTGCATGTTTTCATAATCTTTTGCTGCACATTTGTCAGTTTTTGGAGCTGATTTTTTTTTGAGCCATTTTTTTTTTTTTTGTCACCAGTTAAAGTCCATAAATGAAGTAGCTGTGAATTGAAAGTGCACAAAAATGTGTAAGATTTATTTTGCTTTCAGCGTGAGACATTTAGGATTTACATATTATTACTTATGTTAATTAACTAATTAAAATGTATTAGTAAACTTTTACAGAAAGTCAACAAAGTTATTTCATCAACAATTGATTATTTTGACTTCTCAGAAATCAAAATTTGATAGGATTTTAGATGATGAAATTTAATGTTTAATATGTTTAATATTTTTTTAAGTGTCTTGCATCATCTAAATATTACTTGATTGTTGAAATGTATAGCAATTAGAAATTTTTTTAGAATTTAATATTTTTAACTTGAAGAGTTTTCTTATATGACCTAAATAGTAGAAAGTTGACAGTCTTTATTCATAGCTGTAAAACACTCAAAATAATTTAATATCAATAAAAATAACTTTTTTGGTTTGTAACATTTTAATTTTAAATAAATTAGAGTGTTCTTAAATACATTCCCCCCCAGTATAGATACATTCCTCTTTTGAGTCATCATAATAAGTAGGCTATAGTTCCACCTCTTTGCACTGCATGTAGAATGTTCTTAGATGCACATATGATTAAACTGTATTGTGACCATTTTCAGCCATCACTTTTATTTCAGGAAATTGCAAACTAACAGTTTTATCTATGTCTTCACAAAGTCTTATATGTCCCAATATAGATGATGTGTTTTACTATTATTACAGAAGTTTCAAGTACATGATTAACTTTTGACATGACATTCAGACAAATTTTGATGAAATTCTCTTAAAAAATGAGTATTTCCTTTATTTCATATATTCTTCAGATAATATTTATTCAGCAAACTAGATTTTTATCTGCAACTTAAAAATGCAAATATTCTTAATGAATTGTGCTCTTGGTAATGGGTTAGTAGTCATAGACTTGAATATATTAGTGGCAAATTGTCAATGAATTCTCAGAACAGGAAGAACATTTAGAATAAATTCTACAATTAAGGACATATTTTTAGCTTTTTAAAACTACATGTTACAGCCAAATCCAGAAATGAAGAAACTTGCTTATCTGGAATGCTTTTTGTGCAGCTTCTTGTTTAAGAAAAAGTTATTTATATTTTTACTGTTTGATTGTGCAAAACCAAAAGTGCATGACCAGGTTTGGGCAGATTTTAAAATTTCTAAATGTATTTTTCTCCCTTACAGGGATCAAAAATTCAGCTACTGATCAGAGATTAGGGAGTGTTTGACTAAATAAAGCCATGGAGCATGGGCTGACTGACTACTCAGCCTCCTAGGATTAGAGGTGTCTTGACTTTTTGTAAAAAGAAGTGGCAGACACTGGCTTACTAAAATTCCTAAAACTAGGGTCACATTAATAAAATGATGAACGATTGTTTTAATTTTACGAGAATGTAGCAGGAAATTTTATATAAACTCAATTTTTGGATTTGCCTGACACATACCAAGAAAATTCAGAGTTTTCAGCCAAAAACCTTTCTGCAAAGTCAAACCACAAGGAACATTATATTTTCTTAGTGACTTATTGCTAGTTTCTGTTTTAATTTACTCATTATTTTCCAGGCATTGTTTTGTATCTAATATATAGTAACACATGGTTTGGTAAAATAGATGAAATGCTTATTAAATAGATCCATGAAGAGCTTTAAAACTGTTTCTCCATGCTGTGAACAATAAGTTGGAAATGTCTATGAACTTCAGAATTACACTTCTCAACATATTGATGGAAAGCTTGAATTGATAAATGGTATATATTTCTTATTTCATTTTAATCCAAAGATAGGATAGGCAATTATAAATACAGGTATAAGACTTATTTTAAATTTAAATTACTATAATACTGATAAAAGACTAGAAAACTGCATTATTAGTTTTTAAAATTGCATAATTTGACACTCACAGTTGTAAAGCTAAAAGTAGAGGGTTTTTTTCCCTTAAATATTTTTTGAATTATACTTTCTCTAGATGTTTAGGTAGTTGGAATAAATACAGCTGAGTATCACACAATAAAATTTTATGAAAGTTAACTTTTATTTACAAAACATCTATTTTACCATATAAAATTTTCTATTTATAAAACACAATAAATGAGTGTTACATATAAACAATGATAAGCATTTGCTAACATTAATTTAAAAACAAAGAATAATAAAATATATGTAAAACTGAATAATAAAATACTATATATTTTTATATTAGTCCTGAGGGAAAACAAAGCAGCAGCTATCAGACCTTAAAATTTAAGAGTTCCTTTCAAAATGAGTAACCTGGCCTCTTCAACCAGTATGATCAGTCAGCCCTTTCTATGAAATAATGTAAGTGGCAAAATTTTTAGAAGAGAAATATTTAGTAAGGTTGCATTACTTTATCAAAATAACTTGATCATTTTAGTCAATTGGGTAATTGAGATAGGTTAATTTGGGCATACATGTACAATGTTCGAATGAAATGAAATGCTGTGATAAGATATATAGATATCTAAATTAAATGTCAACAAAATGGCTTAAGCCATTTTAATTGTAGTCACTGATGCTTTTTTAACATCATAGTTACAAAATGATCTTATAAAAATTTTTAGGAAATTAGTCTTTTATTCCAGTGGGGAAAATAGAATACACCAATATGTAGCATGTTATCTAAAACAGAAAAATAAAAAATAAATAAATAAATAAAACAGAAAAATAAAATTGTAAATATATTTCTGATTTCTTGATTTTTACATACTAGCAACGTTTTATATTAATATTTTGTTTATAGCTTAAAATGCACTCTCATACACTATCTCATTTAATTCTCACAAATAGGTTTTGAGGTGGATGTATTACTCATCTGACTGAAAGATTCAGAGAAATAAAGTAACTTTCTCAAGGTCTCAGAGCTAATATGCATTAGATTTCCATCAAGCACAGGTCTTCTGACTCTAATTGCAGTGCTTTTCTAGTTTCCTCTCATGCTTTGCATCAGAATAAAGAGCCTTAAAAGTTCCATAGATACTGAAGCCTTCTACATGATGTGTAATATGCCGTCAGTTACAAGTTAAGGAGCCAAATTATAGTAGTTTGTGCTATCTCCAAAGACACATATATTAAAAAGAGTATACATTGTGTTACGCTTTACTATTTAAATATCAGTGAATGTTTCACAAAATAATTTTGCTGGAAAGTATTTCTCATAAAGCCCCAAAGTTGTAGCCCCAAAGACTACAACAACCTTCATGCCTTTCTTGGATGAGGCCATGGCAGAATGGAAAATACAGCTACTGCATGGAAGTGTCACTTGAAATTATAGATGGAGATATAACAAGGTCATTTTCATAGGCTGACCAACATTTTAATGGCAAAGTTTGATTAGTAATTTGAAAGCCCATATATATGTTATTCATATATTTATTCTGGTTTCGATTCAACAAAGGAACCGTCAGTTGGAGAGAGAGTGAATTAGCCAGTTCTGAAGAGTAATTTTCAGTCCCTCCACCCAGGCCACACTGTCTAGCCTGCTCAGCAACATGGTAGCTTCATACATACAGAAGCTTCATACATACAGAAGCAACCTGGATTTTAAAATATTTGTACAAAAATGCACTTAAAAGTAGTTTGTGATCCTGATTCATTGTGCAGTTTAATTAAAACTTTTTTCCTGCCATCATAACAATGCGATGCTTTTGTGGAAAAATAGAACTAATTGTATTCATAACTTTTACCATTGACTTATAGAATTTACAATGTTCAAAGTTTTCTGGCTTTTAATTAATAATATTCAACTGTGATATTTCTGCTTCACTTAGTCTTATCATAAACACAGGTTCAATTATCACAAGAAAAAAATTGCATTATATTTTCCCCAAATTTAAGTTTAAATTTTCATTACTAAATACATATATATGCATGTATATATACATGTGTAGATATTTTTAACCATTGTTATATTATTTGGTTTCTAAAATAATGATTTTCAACCTTGACAGAGTATTCTTTAATGTAAATGCATAAACTATTAGTCATAGCTTGAAATATTCCAGTGTCATTCAATAACATTTTATGGACTATATTATATAAATTGGTAGAGGCAAAAAATACTGGAATAATCAAGGGTGATGATTAGAGTATGACCAAGACAAACATTGATCACAACACTGAAAAGATGTCCTACTTAACATAAAATGTCATCCCAATTACCACTGTACCCTTATGATATAATCTATCTATAAACCCATTCTATTATTTATACCTCAAGGCGCATAACGCAGACCAATATAAGAGCAAATGTTTCTGAACAGTTCTACTCAACGTGTGTTTGGTAGACCCCTGCTTGTCTGTGACCTAATTGTCCTGGGCCTTGAGATAACAAGCTTACAACAGAATGTAACTTGAACTACTTTATCAAATACGTATTTTATTTCAGCTGATTCTCTTTTTCTTGGAAAAAATAACTTCTCAGTGAAGAAATCAGAACATTGAGTTACATTCTGATCCAATCTCCTTCTGTCCTAGAGTCCCAGCCTGTGAATCAGCTGCCTTGAGTCACTCTGCAAGTCATTTCTAAGTCATTTACTAACCTTTCCACAGAAGGTGGACAAATGGATTATCATATTCTATCCTTTGAATTCTATTCCCAAGGCAAATTCTAAACAAAACCTATAAAATATAAATTGCTCCTTGGTTTATATAATCAGTGATACAAAGCTTTCAGAAACACTTTGCCAAATGATGGAAGAGTACTTTTCAACAAAGTCTAAATTTAACTACTATCTTCCAGTAGGTAGGCCTGACTTTGTGTTTGGAGAATAGCAACTACAACTTTTCCAATCAGTTTTCAAAAATCTATCCTGAACACCATGACCAGAAGATAATTATCAATAGGAACTCATTGAGATTGTCTTAGAAATTCTTGATTTTATGTCTCCTTGGGACGTGACTTTAGATAACAATAGAAGGGAGACATAGTTTCAGAGTGATGCCCACTCCAAGGAAATTAATGAATTCAGACATTCAATGACTTTTTAAAACCCTAGGTTTTAGTAAAAATTAGTTCCAGGTTAAATTAATAGAAATCATAGAGGAATTTTCCTTTATTTCAATTAAAATTCATTTTTCTACTATAGATCATTATGAGGAAAATTGTGAGCAGAATGTTTTAAAACAAATAATCACAAATGAATAACTGTTATAGGATGAAAAACTAGGAATTGAACTAGGAATAAATTATAAATGTCAGTGTTCAACACCATAAAAACTAGATATGCCCAAACTCCCAGGGCTCTACCTAATTCAACATTAGAAAGGAGATTATGCAACAAAGAATTGGGGAAGGATGCATCAATATATTCCTGCTCACCAAAGCCAGAGTAATTTTAGCCATGCATTTTGCTTTCTCTTCCAAGCAAGTGCAGAGCCTTAGACTAGTTTGAAAAGAATCACTCCAACAATCATTCGTTCCTTGTTGAAAAACACTGACTGATCCGTTCATAGTATCCATGGCCCAGTTGGTTTGCGAAGCAGAGCTTTGCTAACAAGGTTATAGCTAATGTGAACCTTGCATCAGTGTAATAGTATCTCTATTTACATTTCTTTTTCTCTGAAATGTTTTTGTATGGCTTTGACGTACTCTCATGTTTTTACATTGAAATTATTATTGCATGTCATAATGTCACTTTGGTATGATGCTTACTAGATGAATATTCAAGGCAGTATTTCATGTTTATCTGTTGTCTTGCTCACAGGTGAATCTGGCGTGGAAGAGTGGTCCCAGTGGAGCACATGCTCAGTTACTTGTGGTCAGGGGTCGCAGGTGCGAACCAGAACTTGTGTATCACCTTACGGGACACACTGCAGCGGCCCATTAAGAGAATCAAGGGTTTGCAATAACACTGCCCTCTGTCCAGGTAGTGTTAGCAGCAACTACAACTGTGGATGTTATTGAATTGTGTCATGCTACGCATTTGGAACAATGTGTTGTTTTCATATGAACTGGGTATAGACATTTTAATAAGAGTGAATAAGTGTAATTTGTTTTCAGCTGTGAAATTTTATTATGTATGTGCTTCTTTCTGCTTTCAGAGCAGTCAAGCAATTACATAAGTGACTACCTACCCACTTGAAACTATAAGCTTGATATTTCTGTTTCGCATGGTATTTAAGGTTCAAAGTCTTATTTTAAAACGGTGAAAAAGTCCAAATGAATGTTGGATGAGCAGTGAAATTTGCCAGCATCCTGGAATGTGATCAATAGTCACTGTTTAGGCAGTGGTTGATACAACCTTTAAGGCAATCAGCTGTTTTCCTACCACTTATTTAACCCCATCAGGAAAAAAGGTGCCCCTGACCAAAGAACTTTCTCTCAGTTTATTTTATTTAAGTGACTGCCCTCATCAAAGCTATCCTCTGCTTTGTAAACTTAAAGTCACTAATGGAAAAAAATGGCCTTCCTTGTTAAATAGAGCATAGCATAACTTAGCCACATAGGATCTGATTTTTCCATGTTGCTTCATTTTTTGTGAGGCAGTGCATATATGCATATTATAAGTATTTCTTTTTCTCAGACCTCTGACTTTCATGTAAAATAAGTACGAGCAAGATTCTCTGAAGAAGTCCAAAGCACATAATCCTGTGAATCTCCAGGTTTATATTTATGCTCAGCCATCCGACGGTTGGGTGATGCAAACTCATTGTCCCCTGCAGTTGACGATGGGACTTGCATTCACAGCCCTTCTAGACCCTCTGGAGTGAGACAGGCTCAAGGAAAGGGCCTGGCACTGTGCCACCTTTCATCTGGTGAAGTGTGCTTAAGCCTTCTGAGGAGTTCCACTTCCAGAGAAGCCTGATTCTGCAGTTGCTAAAAGCAAAAGTACAGAGTGGACGGCCCAGGACAGGGACAGTCCCGATTTCCCAGAAGGGGCAAGGGCAACCCATTCAAAAACAAATTGGAGGAGTAGTTATTTAATGGGGACAGAGTTTTGATTTGCAGAATGAAAATTTTCTGGAGACTTGTTTCTCAACAATATGAATATACTTAATACTGCTGAATTGTATACTTAGAAAGGATCTGAAGATAAATTTTCCATTTGGTATAATTTTATCACACTAAAAGGAAAGACAACACTGGTAAAAATAAAAAGGGAAGAAAGTGGTGAGCAGTCCTGGAGAAGGAACGCTTCAGTGAGCTGGGAGATCCCTTTGTCAGGGGCTTGGGAGGCATATAGCAGTAGAATTAAAAGGTAAACAGTGGGACTTCCCTGGTGATCCAGTGGTTAAGACTCCGTACTTCCACTGTAGGGGGCAGTGGATTTGATCCCTGGTCACTGAACTAAAATCCCACATGCCCCATGATGCAGCCAAAAACAAAAAATAAAAAATAAATAAACAGAGCAGAATAACAGGACAAGGAATAGATATATACATACACACATATATTTGAATCACTTTGCCGCACACCTGAAACACTGTAAATCAACTCTACTTCAATTTAAAAAAAATAAACAGGGCAGAAATCTATGAGGAATGGAAGGTAGAATTAGCAGGAAAAAAGCAATAATGCCACTAAAAACAAGAAAAGTCAATGAGCGTCAGAGAGAATCAGACTAGATGAGAAGGAACATCAAATGATAAATGAAGGGAAAAAGTGCTTAAGCAAGTTGTGGATGGGGAAGACCAAAAAAAGACAAAAACAGGGGTCACAGAGCAAAGTGGACTCTAACACATTAGACAAGAGCAGGAAAGCAAATAGTAAGGAGATGGGCATTTTAGGAATTATAACATTTGTAAATTTTGTAGGTAAAAGGACCTCATGAGGACATGCTAGGGGATTTTCTGTTGAGTGTGGGTTAAGTGCACAGTGCACTGTCTGGACTAGTACTTAAATCTGGCCCCTACTTCACAGTATTTACGTTAAGGGCCTCTGAGCAGGAGCTCTGTACTGGACAAGGAGAGAACTGTCAACAGAGAATTAGGTTGTATTTGACATATACACTTACCTTGTCAGCATCCTTTTGAAAAGTCAAGATCCTTTCAATGTACAGGAATAAAATCTAATGGCAAACAGATCCCTAAATGCAAGTGTGAGTGGCGCTAAGGAGTTCCCCACAGTTCTCCATTCAGAGCATACTTTCCAGACACTAGCCGCAAACACTCACCTTGTTGGCAAATGAAAACCTCCATCTTCCTGCCAGAAGATGCTGATTCACCCCTCCCTGGGCACGGAGACCATCTGTCGTGGGACCAGCATGCCCTCCCTTTCACTCTGCTTCTCGGGTCCAGAAAGCAATAATATTCTATGATGGTCAAGTTTTTCCTCATTTTCTTAAACCTCCTACTGTGATGCCTACTGAGGAAGTACATACTAATTATTGGTTCCTCTTCACCTCCACAAACCACACAGAGGTTTGTCTTTCTAAAGAGTAAGGATGATAAGAAATCTGTATCTTTTAATCATCTAACCACTGTTATAGTTCTGATATTGAATCAAAGATCTTGAGAAGAGTTTTGTTGATTTCTTTTTAATTTTCCAAACATGAAGAATAATTTAGCAGCTTTATTATTTTTTAAATGTGGAATAGTTATCCCACTAAAGGAATTGTGATACATTTCAGATGGTGATTGTGCTTGTTATGAAACATTTTGTGTTCAACATTTTGTTCACTTATTTGCCATGCTGGTAAATATGTATGTTTTTATACAGCATACAATGAAAACAGTAAAAAAAAAAAAAAAAGATGAATTTAAAATCTGAGATAGTACTTTGAAAGGTATAAATATTTTACTGAAATAATAGCTTATTCCCAAGAAGAAAGTTATCTCAGAAATAAATAACCTACTTGTCACACTGTGTATAAAGAAGTGTATTTGCCATTTAGTTAATGAAAATGACACAAGGAAGAATTGAATGTTAAATGTCACTTTTCACAAAATGTATGGAATGATAGAACTAGAGCTTACATTTATTTGTGCTATTAAAGGTTAATCAATAGTGTTATACGTTAGTTACCATTCACCATATTATTCACATTTAAAGAGTTTTTTTTAATTAAATGGCATAATAATGTGTTATTTCTAACATGAATCCTAAAATATCCAGCCTTTTACAAAATTTTTGCCTTGACATCATAGTTTCTTAGAAACTTTTATTGCTCAGAGAAGAAAATGCTAGAGATAAACAGCAAGTAAATTGAGAAAAGTAGAGAGCTACATGAGATTGTTTGGCAACCCACTTCAGTTTCTTGCCTGGAAAATCCCATGAATGGAGGAGCCTGATAGGTTACAGCCCACGAGGTAGCAAAGAGTCAAACATGACCGACCAACTTTCTTTCTTTTTTTCTTTTTTCTGACTTACAGTTTTATGATCTCTTCCAGGGTTTCTGAAACCTTGGTACTATCAACATTTTGATGTGGATAAATCTCTATTGTGGGGAGCTGGCTTGAAGGTGTGGGGATGTCTGTCAGCATCCCCGACCTCTACCCTTCAGACGCCAGAAGACTTCCTTCTTCCCCTGAGGCTGTGACAGCCAGATATGTCTCTGATGTTCCCAGACGTTCCCTGGGGAGGCAATGTTGCCCCTGCTTGAGAACTACTAATCTACTCTATATGTACTCCAGTATTTTAGAATAAATGTTTATTTAGGCTAAGGAATGGTTTTGAATTATTTTTTTTAAGTCATAGTTTTCATATCCATTTATTTTCTTAAGAAAAAAAAGAAAACTTTCACTTAGCAGAATTACCCTATACATCCCAATCTATAATTACAACATAATTTGTATACTTATTTCAAAATCTGTAGTAATATAATTTGCATACTGTATATTCTTCATTTCATCTCTAGATAGAATAGAGATGAAATAGAAATATTATAGCTGGTGTCTAAAGAAGAAACTATAAAAACAGATTAATTTGATTTGTATCTGGTGTATTTTTCAAATGAACTAGATCGTTTTCAAATGAACTAGATCACTTTTCATACTTTACTGAAAATAAAAGTTTATATAATGAATTCCCATTAAAATGAAAATATTTAACCTTTATCCTAAATATTATGAAGAGGACTTATAAAATTTACAAAAAACTTGTGCCCTAATTTCCTACTAACTCAATAGTATCATAAATAAAAATTATTGATAATTTTATGTTCTTTTCAAGTAAAAAACAAGTATTTTTGCTTTTTAAAAATGATGTGGAAGAGTCATGAAATTTTACCATGCAACAATAAAGACTTAAAAAATAGGAAGTAAGATTACGTTTCAGAGGATTCTAGCTTCATAATTTAACTAAGTCATCAAGATTAATTAACATTTCTGTAAGATTTTAGAGAAAAACCTGCCAGTTTAGCACCTTTTTCTTCTGAGATTGTTCACTGCTTTTGGAACAATGTGATTTGATAGAAGAGAAAATGAACAGAACCAAAAATAAAAATACTATATAGCCTATTAACATCTTATACAGAAAATAAGGGAGAAAAGCTGCTTTTTAAATGGAGATGCTTGGTAACTAAACATAAATGCAAAAATTGCATGAGGTATACATTTTACATAACAAAATGTTTGTATATGTTACTTTCATATATTCCTATATGTAAATATAGGTATTTATATATTTTTCCCTTAAACTTTAAATATAGACTTACTATTTATTCTTATACCAATGGATACAAATTATTTTTGGTGTTCCTAAACTTAAATGGGAAAAATGCAAGCATCTTAATTTCTCTGACTCTCTCTTTTTCTATACAATACTTTTGAAACATATTTGCCAGCTTGTTTCACAGTATCTTAAAGAATATTTCATTGGATATTACCTAAATTTGGCTATTTTTTCCAATATTTGAACACATTTTCACAAGTTGGGGCAAATGAATAGTATAAATAGAACAGACTGCCTCACAATTAAGGGTATTGTATCTGTGTTTTTAAAATAACAACTTGGTCAGCATATACGTGCAGAAGATTCTAGACGTACTATATTTACTTTAACTCTTCTGTCACTTCTACTTGCCCTGACCAATGTTGAGGAGCAAATGAGCATCTTTTTTTTTTTTTTTTGTCATATTTAATTATAAATTTCTACCCCACCCCCCACTCATGCCTGTAGGTGTTATATCAAGCATTTGCTCATGGACTTTCAAGAGTAAAATAGAGTTTCAACATCAAGACAGGAACTTTTGACCTGAAGCACACATTTTGTCTGGTTTGTTTTGATTTGTGTTATCCATGGAGTGGATATAATACATGTATTACCCGTGGAGTGCTACTGCATACTATCCCAAATGTTAAAAACTGGGATGAAATCGGTGATTTGACAGTTCAAGGAAGGGACCTACACTTTGAACCCTAATGGACTTTTGGCAAAAGATATCAATATATATGTGAAAAGGTTATTATGGAGGAACACAAATTATGTTAGTATTTCCAATCAAGTTTGAATTCATCATAATGGCATATTTGAAGTACTGATGTATTGATAGTTATATGAAGCATATCTTAATTAAATCATTTGTTTTTTCAAGAAGTTTTACTTAGTAGGATAATTACCAGTGTCATTTAGTTATTGGAGGAGGAAAGGTGTCTTCTGGTTTCCTGGCTATTAGAAATAGGTGTTCATATTTGCCCCTCATTTTAAACCTAGGGAAAGAGGGGACTCTTAGGCAAATAGAGTTTTTGAAATTTACCTCTTATTCAAAAAACAGTGACTTTAAACACCCACAGATTTTAAATGGCAAAAAATACATTTTCTAAAATGTGAGGTTAAAAATCTGCTTAAAATATGTACCTTCAATTCTCTGACACCATAAAATTGATTAATCAAAGTTATTAATCCTGAAACTTTCTAAATGTTGAAAAAATTAAGCTCAACATACATAGATGTGAAGTAACTCATGACTGTTTTACCATGAGGGAGAGGGGTACATTTCCATTTAAAAAAATAAATAAATAAACTTTATGGCATAAGTAATTGTTCAAATACAAAGGTATATGCAAGTTTATATTATTTGAATGACTTTTGAGTTAACTTACATTTTGTGGCAAATAAGAGTAATTCAATTGAGTTTTTAAAATATCTTCATACTTGTCTATTTTATGAGTTTTTTTTTTCTTCTTCTTAATTATGTATAAAAAAAGTAATCTTTGACTTCGCGTCTCGGTTCCTGTTGTTGAAGCTTCTTTGCTTTATTGCAGTCCATGGAGTCTGGGAAGAGTGGTCTCCGTGGAGTCTGTGCTCATTCACCTGTGGTCGGGGCCAGAGAACCAGAACACGCTCGTGCACCCCACCCCAGTATGGGGGGAGGCCGTGCGAAGGGCCGGAGACGCATCATAAGCCTTGTAATATCGCCCTCTGCCCAGGTGAGCCTATCCTGCATTTGGTGAACTTTGTGTTTCTGATCTTGGTCTACGGTCCCCAGTATACCTAAGAAGTTTTTAAGAGTATAACCTTCATTTAGCCACATTGGAAAATGAGCCTTTTCCTTATTGATTCTTGCTTCAATAAAATCAGCTACCTTCCTTGATTCTATTGTATGCAGTTGTGTATATTAATATCTCATTAACTATGAAGTATTAATAATTAATACTGTGTACCAGGGGATGCTCACCTTTATTGGATTTCTATAAATATGCATACTAATGATTCCCACTATAAGACTTTTACCCTATACATGGATTTCTCTCCTGGAAAAATTGTAAGACATCCAAAAGACTTGAATGGACTATTGCTTCCACATTGTAACTAGAGAGTCTGGTGTAGAGATGGTCCTTCCATATAAGGATGATAGACATTTGCTAGAAAGTCAGAGTTTCTGCATTCACTGCTAGATATGCAAAATGGTTAGATCATAAGTGATGTATAATCTTGATGTGATTATGAGGACTGTAAAATCTGTTCTTCAAGTGTATTTAATTTTTTTCCTTTCCTTTAAAATGTTTCAATTCTGTTTTACCTTTTGATAATTTCCCCCATTGCTCCAGAGGAAAGTCTTTCTAATGCTGTTATTTAGGATGCTGAAATAGTCACACATAAAACAGATTACCTACAAAATGAAAAAGACTGATCTCTAGCTTGAAGAGGTTTGCAATTTATGGCAGAAAATGAACACAAACAATGATAGAATCTCCCAGAAAAGCAAAGACACTTCTTAGAGGAAGAGACAGATATGCATGGCAAATGGCAAAGTCTAACAAAAACGCGCAGACCAGCATTAGTAAGCAGCATCTTCTATTTGGGAGAGTGTCTCACTGGCCCATGCAGTCACATATTCTCCATGCAATCAACAACTGGGATCCCAGTAGTGAACTTCAGACCTACTACTTAACTCACATTGAGTCCCATTTGCCCTCTAAATTCCCCAAGTTAATATCTTATCTTACAATTCAGTGTTTTAAAGTTCTTCTGGAAATTTTAAGAATCAAAAACATCTGAAGACTATGAAAAACACTCAAAATGCAGAGAAGAAACAGTCATCTAACAAGCTTAATTGTTCCCTTTTAATTCAGACAAAGATTAAGGTTACTACACTTGGGAGTATACATGTAAATATGTAGCAGTTATATTGAGTAATATACTTTTTTACTTTTAGAATTTTATGAATTCTATTAATTGTGAATATAACTATACACAATTCAGTGTTCAGGTATTATGAATACTAAGGTGTCAAAAATCATGATTCCTCATTTTCAAATCATTCCCAGAAAATCTATTAAAGTTATTATTTCTGTCTCTATGTAAACATACAGATAGGCACACCAGACATATGCATGTATATTTATGCTCTGCCTTTTTCCCAAAGATTTAATTTATGCAAATTTTGGAATGATTTTTTTAACTGAGCTGTAATATTTATAGGTAGTCAGAGTTCACTCATTTTTCTATGGAATGTGAAAAAATAGACAACACTGGGAAGTAAAGGATAATAGCTAACTATGGAATCTCTTTTGATATATTGGTTTTTAATTAATTCTTTACCTCAGTTGATCCCCATAAGTACAAAGATAAAATGGCACTGATCAATACAATGTTGTCAGCCAGGTTTTTCACAGTCCATTTTCTATAAATTCATCTAGACATAAAAAGCTTAGATATGAGTACATAGAGATGCTAAGTTGTTAGAATTCAGATAAGAAAATTCATTTTTCTAAGCTGATACAGTTATGACTTAGAGGTGTTCAGTCATAATTCCACAGATGGTAGTTTTGCCCCACTGGCTCCTCCACAAGCACATATGCTAAATATCACTCACGTAGTAACCATGTGTGTTTTCAAGCTAGTAGTGTTTTACCTGTATTATACTATCACTGAAATCACTCTAACACCATTAGTTGGATATCTTAGCTATAAGAAGAATTAAAACTAATTATCTTAAGGCTAATTTCAGGGATCTTCACTGAATATAAAGCATTATTAACTATCAATTAGATGTAAGACACTACTGAGAATAATGTAGAATCCCTGATCTCTAGAAATTTGCAATGTCTTCTGAGGATTTAGAAACATGCATGTGAAAAATGAAACTGAAAGCCGCTCAGTCGTATCTGACTCTTTGCCACCCCATGGACTGTACAGTCCATGGAATTCTCCAGGCCAGAATACTGGAGTGGTAGCCTTTCCCTTCTCCAGGGGATCTTCCCAACCCAGGGATTGAACCAAGGTCTCCTGCATTACAGGCGGATTCTTTACCAGCTGAGCCACAGGGAAAGCCTATGGATCTGAAAAATAGAATGCAATTCTGAAAAACACAAATAAATGCTCTAGTCTCAATAAAAGGTTGTAATTTGAATATTAAGTGATTTCAACCTACAATTTTTATAGCCATCCTACCTTAGATTCCTAACATATCCTCTTAAAGAAAAAAACTATGATAGGAAATGTGTCAGTGATGAAGAAAATGGGCAAGACACTCATTTGGTTCCCCTTGGTTAGGCTGACATGGACCATGGAGCAGAAGAAAGCAGGGGAAACATTCAAAACAAAAAATTGGGTCTGTGCTCACCACTTCTGCAAGATTTGATCATGCAAGTTCTGATCATGGGCAGTGATATTTTAGTGTAGGGTCATGTGAGAACAGCCTCCCAGCTTTTAAGAAGCACATATTGCTCTGTATATTTCTGGCCCACCACCCCCAACCAACACCAGTCTCTTTTTAGACATAGTACACAAATCAGTGACCAACGGCTCAAACTATGAAATACCAGACCTAACTTTTCCTTCCTTCCTTCTCTCCTTGTATGGCAATGATGTAAGTGATTTACCTTTGCTCAAAAGGAATGGGAGAAAGTTGGACATTGACTAAGCAAAGTATCAGATAAGAATAGGATGTCATGTATTATCAGTAGGGAATCAAGATTGCTGGGAGAAATATCAATAACCTCAGATACGCAGATGACACCACCTTTATGACAGAAAGAGAAGAACTAACGAGCCTCTTGATAAAAGTGAAAGAGGAGAGTGAAAAAAGTTGGCTTAAAGCTCTATATTCAGAAAACTAAGATCATGGCATCTGGTCCCATCACTTCATGGCAAATAGATGGGGAAACAGTGGAAACAGTGGCTGACTTTATTTTTTGTGCTCCAAAATCACTGTAAATGGTGACTGCAGCCATGAAATTAAAAGATGCTTGATCCTTGGAAGAAAAGCTATGACCAACCTAGACAGCATATTAAAAAGCAGAGACATTACTTTGCCAACAAATGTCCATCTAGTCAAAGCTATGGTTTTTCCAGTAGTCATGTATGGATGTGAGAGGTGAAGTATAAAGAAAGCTGAGCACTGAAGAATTGATGCTTTTGAACTGTGGTGTTGGAGAAGACTCTTTGGAATCCATTGGACTACAAGGAGATTCAACCAGACCATCCTAAAGGAAATAAGTCTTGAATATTCATTGGAAGGACTGATGCTGAAGCTGAAACTCCTATACTTTGGCCACCTGATGCGAAGAAGTGACTCACTGGAAAAGACCCTGATGCTGGGAAAGATTGAAAGTCGGGGGAGAAGGGGACGACAGAGTATGATGTAGTTGGATGGCATCACCGACCCTATGGACATGAGTTTGAGTAAGCTCCGGGAGTTAGTGATGGAGAAGGAAGCCTGGCGTACTTCAGTCCATGGGGTCACAAAGAGTCAGACACGACTGAGCGACTGAACTGAATTGATCAGAATTTGCATATTAAAACATGTTTCATTATTTAGTGTGAACAACACTCATCTTTCCTGCATAACATCCACTTCATTATGGGGATGATATGTGTTTCTTCCTGGTGGAAGACACAGTAACCCACTGCAGTATTCTTGCCTGAAGAAGATGGATAGAGGAACCTGGTGGGCTACAATCCATTGAGTTGCAGAGTCAGACACAACTGAAGCGACTTAGCATAGCACATGTGTTTCTTAGGGGCTTCCCAGGTGGTGCTAGTGGTAAAGAACCCACCTGCCAATGCAGGAGACGTAAGAAACATAGGTTCGATCCCTGGGGTAGGAAGATCTCTTGGATGAGGGCATGGCAACCCACTCCAGTATTATTGCCTGGAGAATCCCCATAGACTGAGGAGCCTCTTTTCTCATCTTTAGTACCAATCAAGTGCGATATGGAAGGATGTATGTATGTATTTGTGTGTTCAGTGGTCTTTGTGATCTGTTTCTCTTACCTCACCATACCCAGAAAAACCTGTGTTTTCTGTTTTCTCTGAATTTTCATTGCCGTCACTAGTTGAGCATCAAGTTCCTAATGATATTAATTGATATATTTGACAATGAAGACATGCTCTTGTATTTCCACTTTAACTTTGTATCTGGTGGTATCCAATGAATGACTATTAAATGGATTCTTTCCACCTATACATATCCAAATTTCTAATGCTCATCCAGATGTTTTTTAGGACATTTCTGTTCTTATTTAATAATATATTAATGTGTTGTAGTGGAAAGATCTTTGGCTTTTGCAAACGAAAACATATTTGAATTTAGATACCACATTTTCACATCTGTGTTGCTCCTCTGGTATTAGTTTCTTCAGCAGCACATTGAGGACAGAATAGTAACACCATCTTCATGAGAAGGCCATATGAGATGCTCTAAGGGAGAGAACTTGGTAGTTAGCCAGCTAGCAAATGCTATTAATAAATATTAGTATTATTACCACATCAGTGCGCTCCAGTGAGAGTCTATCAGGATGACACTTGTGGTTGAACAAGTTGGGTTTGTCACTCTCCATAGTGAGGGGAAATTAACATATGGAACTGCAAGGCATCTTAGTAAAAGGGTGGTGTTATTGTTTAGTCACTAAGTCATGTCCAACTCTTTTGTGATCTCATATTCTATAGGCCACCAGGCTCCTCTGTCCATGGGATTTCCCAG